AACTGCTACCACCACTACAGACACTTTCTCTTTAGTGTGGTAGCTGAAAAACTATTTCACGGATATTTTCCAAACTTTGGAGACACATATGCATAATGAACTGGAATCGATCATACAGAAAGCCCCAGAACTGAAGCAGCGCCATGTAGTAATCACAAAAAAGGAGCAGTTTTGACACTTGATCCTGTTTAATGTGATAACTCCAAAAAAAAATAAAATTTTGGATCTTTTCCAGATTTTGCAGAGACATTGAATGACTGACAAACTGGAAGTGATTAAATTGTGAGAAAACTAAAAAGTGAAGGGTGATTGTAGATGGCATTTGACCTTGAGAATGTGTCAAAAACTATTAGGTAGATTTTATTACTGCTTCACAAATACATTTGTAGCGCCCCTGATCCCACACCTATATGGATGGAGGCGTCACCACATCTACCTAGGTTTGAAGAAGGGAGCTGACTGGGTTGAACAATGGCCACTTTTATTGCCTTGCATTTAACTGCAGATTGTAACTTTGTGCATAAGAAAAGGAAGAGCTTTTAGAAAAAATGATAAAAGAAATTGAAAGGCAATATCCCTCTCCCTGGTTCAGTCCTTTACTCAGGCAGGTGAGCCGACGCAGCCCCCTGTCCCAGTCTGGCTGTGCACTGGCTGTAAACAATTATATCCCTTATTACATGCGTAGGAAATGGCAGAGAGAATGAGTCTTATCTGCAGTCTGGACGGGTGAAGAAATCGAGCCCTCTTCCCAGCAGCATGTCTTCCTGGGTGCATCTCTCGGTGAAGGAAGAGAAAAAATTTGTGAGAGAACATAACTTACATACCTATCGGTCTCATGGATTGTTTGGGGCGCCCTCTGTTGGCGCCACCGTACCACTGCACCTCAGTCTAGTACCCCGTTTTTTCCACAGGGGTTACACATTGAATGGATGAAGGTTTATGGCTGGTTTCCTTTTTAGACAAATTGCCCCAAAAATGAGGCTAATAAATGGATGGTATATGGATTTCTCGATGTTTTGTTTTAAAACATATTAACAAACCAAATCAAAGTTTATTTATTAAATGCACAACCCTACAGCAGACAGCAGTACATGTAGATGATGAAATGAGTGTCCCCAAGAGCTTATTATAGTTAGTGATATATAAGAGAAATAAATAATAAAATAATGAAATAGTTCATATACATAAGGCAGCAAAAATATTTCAAGGGAAAAAATATTTATTATTATTAATAATAATAATAATAATAATAAAATGTAAATGGGTAAATTGTCCATACTAATGGCCTGATTAGCTATTGAGCACCATCACTGCTTGCGGGTAGAAACCTGTTGGTCTTTGCTCCGATGCTCCAATACCGTTTCCCTGATGGCCGGAGTGAAACCAGTTTGTGGTTGGGATGACTGGGGGCCTTGAGGGTGGGAAATATAAGGAAAGGAATATATGAGAGGATGGGAATCATAATGGGAAAATTGCACATTCAGCATCATAACGCAGTAAATGAACTGTAGCTCTTGAATGTATTCAGTGCATCTCCAGACTCCGGCTCTGCAGTGCTTCCTGCTTATGGGTTAAAGGGAGTCGGTTCTCACAGTGCTGGGTCATTACATGGGGACTCGACAAAGCAGACATACTGAAATTGTCACACTCCGCTCCGTCCGCTCCTGATGTGTGCCACGCCCACCTCGTTACCTCGTGTTCAGCCCTGATTGTGATCACCTGTGTCCTGTTATGTCTAGCTTGTCTTTTGTATTTAGTCCTCGTCTGAGTCAGTCTTCCCCAGACTCGTCATTGTATTGTCCGTAGATGTTCGCCTGTCGTTAATAAAACCACGTTTACCCGACGTCCTGGCTGCAATTCGCCTGCTTTCCGGCTCGCCTGATCCCGAACGTGACAGAAATACACACCGGGCAATAATAATCCACATTACTACCGAGGTTATGAAACCAAAAAGCGGTTTTACAATGCAGACATGTCACTGTTTATCAAGATCAGTAATATTCAGATACAGCCACAGATCTGAGATCATGGGTCTGATGTTGCAAAAAAGTAAATATGATGCGATAATGTGCCAACTATCTCACAAACCTATGTCACACACAGACATCTTCCTGATTCTGCAAACTGGCAACACCAGACTAGTAGTGAAGCTAATCTGATGAATGACCATAACTGTTTGGTTANTGTTGGTCTTTGCTCCGATGCTCCAATACCGTTTCCCTGATGCCCGGAGTGAAACCACTTTGTGGTTGGGATGACTGGGGGCCTTGAGGGTGGGATGCCCTTCTTAATTTTTCAAACAGCCAGAGTCCAACGCTGCTGGAAAGCTGGAAATCCTGGGTCCTGGCATTCATGTGAATGTTAATTTGACACATACCACCTACCTTTGTAACAAGACCAGTACATCCCCTCATGGTGACAGTATTCACCAGTGACAGTGTGGCGCCTGACACACTGCAAAAATTGTTTAGGGATGGTTTGAGGACATGAGAAAGGTATTCACATAGCCTTAGCGTCTGTGGCATGGGATGTGCTGGACAAGCAAGTCAATATATCCATGGAGGCCCTGCCAGATATCACAGGACACTTTGAGAGGACTCGTGGAGTCCATGGCCTGACAGGTTAGAGTTGTTTTGGTGGCACAAGAAGGACGCAATATTTGGCAGGTGGTTTTAATGTTATGGCTGATTGGTATAGACCACTTTTGTACAAGGGGGGTCGTGCCCTTTTTATACTTTTGATATTTGTGATCAGTAATATTCAGATTCAGCCACAGATCTGAGATCATGGGTCTGATGTTGCAAAAAAGTAAATATGATGCGATAATGTGGCAACTATCTCACAAACCTATGTCACACACAGACATCTTCCTGATTCTGCAAACTGGCAACACCAGACTAGTAGTGAAGCTAATCTGATGAATGACCATAACTGTTTGGTTACTGGTGTAGATAAAATACAATTGTTTGTGATTATGAATTTAAGTTTAGGCAATAAAGGTAGTATAAATAAAATGATGCTCAAAAGTGATGGCCTGCGAATGAATTATCGATTGGTGCTTTGGTGCATTAGGAAGGCATATTTAAGAGTTAAGAGTTCAGTGTATTTAAGGTGGATGCCGATTCAGAGGCCAGTGAACTGATTTAGATTTCCAAGGGATAACCCTCAGTGCTGAATTGCAGTGGGAATTGCCGAACTGGTAAGATATCTCCCAGTAACCCCTGAGCTGTGCTGTACCAGCCGTATGGGACAGTATAAAGTGTAGGTCACCCCATGAGTGTATTTTTTGAGGTGGGGGGGTTTAAACCCCCCAGTAATCAAAACTGGCCAACACAACCCCCCCATACGCCCTGGGTGAAGGCCTCAACCCCCCCTGGGGTCACCCAGATATGTAATATTTCATCTAAACAAGCCAAAAATAGAACACATCAAGCAGTTTTTTATATTTAATACAAACAACTGGATATTAAATTCAATAGTCTTTCAGTCTGCTGCCATCTACTGCCAAGATGACAGAATGCCACTCCGCCACCTTTCTTATGTTACTGACACCAGAGGACAAAGTGCAAAATTAAATATAATTTAAATTGCCGTGTTTACTGTTTTTATACTCTGATACTGAAAAACTATTTAAAAAAATCTTTAATCAGAAGTGCAGAGTCCTATTGTTCAATAACTATCAGTGGAACATGGATATTCTTCATCCTTTTATACCGTTTATTTATGCAATATATTTATGCAATCTATTTTCAGCTCCTTTAACCCTCTGGGGTCTAAGGGTAGGGAATACACATAAAGCGGAGTAATTCAGGAAAATTAATAAAAGCTAATTTGGCCAAAATTGTTTAATTTATGCAGTATATATTTTTATTTATTTATATACGTCAGGATCTGTCTGTCATGTTCCAGACCCTGTTTCCGCCCTCTTGGGTCTAATAATCACAGCTGCCTCTTATTTGATCCTCATTAGTCCATGTATATCAGTGCCTGCTTGTCTTGTGCTCCCCAGTCCAGTCAATGTTGTCATTCATGTTGTTTCCTGTGCCATTCCCTGGGTCAGTTCTCCCATATGTCAGTACAATCCTAGCCCCCCCTTTGGTGCTGTCAGTTCCTTGGTGGTACCCCTTGTGGTCCATTTGTTTACTACTTGAGTTTGCTTACGGTGAAAAAAAGCCTTGATTTTGTTAACTTTCCGGCTGCCTTTGAGCTGTCCTTTCCTCTGATGTGACAATATACTGTATATAATCCAGTCTCCGATGTTTATTTACAGTTATTTTTTAAAATTTCCTTTTGATGTGCTATCTGTCACTGTTAAAATAAACCTACCATTGAAATGATACTGTTCTGAGACTTTTCATTTCTTTGTCATTGGACAAACTTGCAAAATCAGCGAGGGGTCAAATAATTATTTCCTCCACTGTATAAGAAGTATAATACATTTTGATGAGATCTATTCAAACTTGCTTGTGGAGGACAGAGTAACTGTTACTTCCTATCTGATAGTTCCTCCTGTTGTAAGTACCATTAAAACGCTACATTCTTCAGGAAGTCCGCTTTGTAAGTCTGTTTTTATAATGGCCGATCCCAAAATGTCAAGCGTGCTGCTGATGTGCTGGATTACTCTCTTTGTGAAGACAGGTAATGTGCATGACAACAGCCTCTAATATAATTTCCTATAATACTTGAGTGCTTTGATCTGAATTATTAGATATGAGAACTGCTATTCGTGGTTGATGAACCATTCATATGGCACCAGACATTAATATTGTAGCGCCGGTGAGATCTGTGCATCCCGGCAAACCTCATGAACGCTCGTGTATGTAGCCCTGTGTCTGTGTAATTGTAAATAGCCCTTGTATTGTTGTTGTTATGGCTATAGTTGCCTTCCCAATCGGGGCGTATATGTTTATCCAGGTCTTGCATGTACCCTGTTCGATCCTCACGTCTTCTTAGCTTGTATAAATCTCCCACCATGTGTGCACCTTACAGTTCAACATCTGACCCCATTTGACAAAACTAGCTTTCCTCTAAAGTTTGTTCTGCCTTCTAACCTCCGTCACCTTGATATAATCACACAGCTGCAAAAAAAATTGGCAAAAATGAAATGGTAAAAATTCTAGTTTTCTCAAGAAAGATACCATAGACCCTCCTGCAGCCATAACCTCCACCATGTTCCACGGATGTGGTGATCGTAGGAGGATTCTATCTCTCTCGTACAGCTGAATCTTCATGTTATCAGTCCATAAATAATTATTACGAAACTGTTAGCAAACTCTAACCTAGCATTTCTGTTCTGACGCCTTTACAGTGGCTTGCATCTTGTGGTAAACCCTCTGATTACATGCTAATGCATCTGTTTATAATTATTTGGAAACAGCTGCACCTACATCCTGGAGAGTGTTTTTGATTGGGCTGACAGTTGTGAAGGGTTTTTCTATAAAGTTGTTTGGTATTTATTATAATAATGTATGTGTAATGTTATTTCTGATAATGTAGGCTTTGGCACACCTAATGTTTTCTCTGTGTCTCAGATTGATTTTTCCTGACTGTTCAGCCTCATGATGGCCTGCTTTACTGACATTGACACCTATTTGGTCCTCATATTGAGTGACAATAGCAACAGAAATCAAAATACCACACTAGACTTTTTATCAGCTTAATTGTGTATTAATTGATGATGCAGTAACATACATCTGGCCAAGGAACAGCTATCCAGATAATTGTCCAAATATTTTCCTCCCTTGCAGTAGGGGGGGGTACGTATAGAAA